AGAGAGAGATGCTAAGAATAAAAGAAAAAAGGCTGATTGGGATGCCATGGGAGGAGGATAAGTTACTATGCTTCTTTTTTTTCAACACTATTTATTGAGTGTTAACATAACATATATTATTGGGCTCATCTATTGACAATTTAAGCTTTTGGGATAACTGGTGTTCTATCCGTTAATGAATGAGAGCATGCTCACATGTGAGTGGGAGTGTTAAGGATACAAATAATGAAGTTACCCATTACATCTTGATGAAGTTACTCCTTTCTCTAACAGCATAAGCTTTCAATGTGATGGAAAGTGAAACTTGCTTGGTTGTAGCAAACAAGGAGACTGGTTGGGAATTTTTTTTTTGTGTCTTTACTTATGGTAGACGGTTTAATAAGATTAGGTAGTTCTTTTGATTTGCTAGATCATGTTTTAGTTGAGAGTGAAGTGGCCTTTGATATGACAATAAATAAATGCTTTCCTAAGCCTTTATGCTTGAAATTCCTTTACTGAATATTGGTTGTGAGCATATTTTCTTACTGTAGGTGCGAACAATTTGATTCCCATGGAAATTGCACTTAAAATTGCTAAGAAAATCAGAGCACGTGAGATGTTTACAGCTTATATTGTTATTTTGATGTGGCCAGAAGGCAATCCAACAGGTGCTGCTACACAAAGGATTTTATTTTGGCAAGTAGGAACCAATTATGACTTCAATGCATAGCATTGTGCTTCTGCATTTTAAAGGCAGCTTCAGAGATGGATAACTTTGTTGCCTTTTTTTTCATTAGATTAATATGGGAAATCAAAAAATTATATTAATCTGCCCATCAGTGTATATACTTCAGAAGGATCAATTTTTGATTTTGAAATTATCTCTCATTTATTGTACAGAACAAAACAATGCAAATGATGTATGAGACCATTTACAAGGCTTTAGTGAAGGTTGGCCTTCAGAATGAATACACCCCCACATGACTATTTGAACTTACGTTCATATTTGGAAAGCACCGGTGTGCATTTTGTTGTTTGTTGTTTGGTTTTAAATTACAGATGATTAGTTGGTGTGCATTGTTTGTTGTTTTGTTTTAATTAAATTATTTTAGAATCGCAGAGCACTGGCATGCATTGTTTGGCATCCAATTTTAATTTTGTAGAATTGTAGAATATTAGCTGGTGTGCATTGTTTGGTTAATTTTATTTTATTATAATTGCAGAACATTAGTTTACCATTTTAATTTTAATGAACATTATAAATTTTATATGTTTATTCCTTAATTTGCATTAAGACTAAGGAGAGTTGTTATTTTTAATTGAATTCTGTAGAGGGTATGGTACAAGCAAAATTATTAAAAGTTCTTTAAGAAGAAAAAATGTTACAGACTTCACATGTTTTAACATGATACGTATATAAATTACAAATATATTTCGATCTCAATATTATTTACACCGTGCCTTTAGGCACGGGCATACACTAGTATATATATATAATATAATATATTAAATAAAGAAGGAGTAAAGAATAAAAAAAATAAAATAAAAAAAAAACAAGAAAGAAAGAGAAAGTTTCCTACCACTCTATTGACTTAGCTGTGCAAATATGCAAGTGCAATAAATTCATTTCCTCAGGCTCATGAACATAATCTCTGAACAATATCTTTGAATTAAAGACTGAATGCAATTGCGGAAGACAAGGAGCCGAAGAATGGAGACAAAGATGGAGGCATGCGATCTGTTAATGGAAATCGATGCATCAAATTTCAACAATTTCAGACTCAAAATCTCAATAATACTGGCTTCTAAAGATTAGACAGCTTCAGGAGTGTGTAGTGAGCTCTATGTGAGTTCTATAAATGAGATGTACTGGATGTGAGAAAAGGGGGGAGAGCTTTTGGAAAAAAGAGAGCTCGGTCTTGTATTTAATTTTCTCCTTTCAGTTGTAAGTTTTATTTTCATGTTTGATTTTAGTGTGTATGTTAAAATAATTATGAGTAGCTAAATTATTAACTAAGGTTAAGGATGAAGCCTCTTGTATGGTAGTAATTGAATACATGATCTGATCATATTCCCTAAATTGAGGTTTTAGTGATTAATTGTTCTTGTCACTTCTAAATTAATTTAGTAAATTTTGGATATGAATTTAATTCGGTTTCTTTCATGATTTGAAATTTTCGAGTTAATTTACTTGCCTTGATCGTATCCTTATTAAAAGTCAAATATTGGATATCTATTGTGATTTGTTGCCAACAGATACATTAGATGATTTAATTTTGAATAATTGGGCGAGGAAGAACATACATAAGATTATTATTTTAAATAAACTAAACGATGATTTCTTCCATAATAATTAAGATTGAATTCTAAATTATTGTGTTAGACATTAAGGGAATTGATCAAATTATGTTATTTGATTATTATTTATATTTGAGCGTGGATTCTGAGACCTTAGTCCCGTTTATTTGATTATTTTATCAATTCCAGCCTTATCTTTGTCACTGTGTTGCATTAGTAGAATTTAGAATAAAAAATTTCAGATTTGTTAACTAGGTTAAGGTAATTTAAATTCCAAAATAATTAATTTTCACAAGTCTCTGTGGGTTCGACTTTGTATTCATTTGCCTGTACTATTATACGGTTCGTGCGCTTGCGAATACATTTAAAATTTCACAACATGTTTTTGGCGCCGTTGCCGGGGATTTGATATAAGAAAATTTATTAAAATTGAGTTTAACATACCTTTCTACTAGTTTGTAGGACTTAAAAAATATCTACATAAAAAAAAAAAAAAATCTAAAAATTATATAATTGGAATTAGTGGTCTGTGCTTGTTGGCTTGTTTTATTACATTGTTATCTATTTATTTCTGTTTTTATTGTGAATGCTTTTTGAATCATTTTGTTGCATAATATATATATTTTGCTGTAGTATATTTTAGTCATTTGCTTTAGATTCCCTTAACACCCTAAGTTAGAATAACATAGACAAAATTTTCCTGTTTTATTTTATTTAGGATCACTTTCTATTCTTGAGTAATATATAAATATTAATATTTAAAAAAAATTATTCTTATATAAAAATAAAAAAAATAAAAAAATTCTCCTTGAAGGGTGATTAGTGCGTGCTTGGTCGTAGATCAAAGAAATTACAAATAGTACCTTTTAATCCTGAAATTGAAAGAACATTTAGAAAAAGGTTAAGAAAACAAAGAGAGTTGCATAATACCAAAATGGGGATAACATTGAAGAAGCTTATGAATCAAAAGTCCTTAGAGACTTATTTTCACCAATCACCACTAATCCTCCTTCGTGTATAGTGTTACCCACAACAAATGCAACACATTTCAAGTTAAAACCTCATGTAATCCACCTTCTTCCAATTTTTCATGGGTTAGAGAGGGAGGATCCTTACATGCATGTAAAGGATCTTCTTGAAATTTGTTCAACTTTTAGATTTCAAAATTTTTCTGAGGAGTACATTAAACTACAATTTTTTCCCCTCTCTTTAAAGGATGAGGCAAAAGCATGGTTAAACTCTTTACCCTTTGGGTCAGTCACTTTATGGGAGTTTCTTGTAAAAAAGTTTCTCTCTAAATTCTTTCCATGGCAAAAACTAATGCTTTAAGAAGAGAAATTTCTGATTTTTCGCAGAATGAACATGAAAATTTTTATGAAAGTTGGGAATGATTTAAAGACTTGACTTTAAAATGTCCCCACCATGGCCTTGAAACATGGAGACTTATGCAATATTTCTATAACGGTTTAACTTAGTCTCATCGAAACATGATTGAATCCATGAATGGTGGAGGTTTCTTGAGTCTTAGAGAGGATGTAGCCTATTCCTTGAAAATTATCTGAGAGTTCCCAACAGTGGGATTTCAATTCTTATAGGGATAAGTCAGATTCGTCATCTAAGAGAGGGGGATTATATGAAGTAAAAGATGATTATGAACTTAGGATGAAATTAGATAATCTTACCCGAAAAGTAGAGGCATTAGTTTTGAAAAAATCCATGGAGTCAACCAATCAAGTACAAAGTGATGTATGTTCTTTGTGTTCTAGTCCAATACATACCACCCATCAATGGTAGGATATTCAGAATGCTATGCTGAGCAAGCAAATGCATTAAATAATTATGGGAAGCCATTTCCTAGTCCCTTCTCAGAAACATACAATCATAATTGGCGAAATCATCCTAATTTTTCATGGGGGCAAAATCAGCCCATCCAAAATGTTAGTGGACAACATGCACAACCACACAATCAATTTCCACCAGGGTTCCATCCTCCAACCCAAACATTTCCTAATCAACCTTACGTTAATCGACCTTCTGTCTCTCAATCCAATTTTCAGTCTGCTGCGCCTCGGCAACAGAGTTGATCTTTAGAAGATACATTACATGCATTCATGCAAATGACTGGCCAATCCATTAGCAAAAACAAACTCAGCTATTTCTAAATTAGAAAGCCAATAGTCCAGTTAGCCAACCAGATGTCTGAGAAAGAGAAAGGACGGTTTCCTAGTCAATGTATACCAAATCCTAAAGGGCAATTCGCCATAAATTCCCCTGACACTTCACAAGAGCAGGTCCAATCCATTGTTACCCTTAGGTCTGGAAAACAAGTAGACAATGAAGTACACATGCCAATAGAGGAGAGACCAGCTGAGTTAGACAAAGGAAAGAATCCAAAGGAACTTGTTAAAACTCAAGAACCTTCTGTCTCACAACCTACTGAAATAGAACCTAAAGTGGGGAGTTATATTCCTAAAGCTCCTTTCCCTCAAAGGTTAGTTGCTCCTAAGAAAGGTGCACAACTAGGAGATGTTCTAGAAATACTTAAACAAGTTCAAATTAATATTTCATTCCTAGACGCTATTCAATAAGTACCTGCATATGTTAAATTTTTGAAAGACCTTGTAACTGTGAAGAGAAAGATTAATGTCCCTAAAAAGGCATTCTTAACAGAACAAGTTAGCTCCATTATTCAACGAAAAGTACCTGTCAAGTATAAAGATCCTGGTTGTCCCACAATTTCTTGTACAATAGGTGACCATCATATTGAGCAAGCGCTGTTAGATTTGGAGGCTAGTGTCAATTTACTTCCATATTCGGTCTACTTACAATTAGGTCTAGGAGAGTTAAAACCCACCTCTGTGATACTTAAATTGGCTGATAGATCTGTTAAAATTCCTAGAGGAGTCATTGAAGACGTTTTGATTCGAGTTGATAAATTTTATTTCCCAATAGACTTCATAGTACTAGATACTCAGCCTGCCCACAATTCAAATAATCAAATTCCAGTTATTCTAGGTCGGCCATTTTTAGCTACTTCTAATGTGCTAATAAACTGTTGGAATGGTGTTATGAAAATTTCATTTGGTAATATGATGGTTGAGCTCAATATTTTTGATATTAGTAAACAACCACCAACTGAAGAAGAAGCTAGTATTGTGTGCTTGATTGATAGTCTTGTCCATGATGAGTTCATTGAATCCAGTTATGAAGATCCCTTAGAGGCCTGCCTAGCTCATTTTGGATGTAATTTGGATATTGATGAGTCAATTGAGCAAGTTAATGCACTGTTAGATTCTATTCCAGTAATGAACATCAACAAATGGCAACCTAAACTGGCTCTTCTTCTAATTTCTTTAACATCATCACTTCCGTCCCTAGTGGAGCCACCTAAATTGGAATTAAAACCATTGCCTAATACCCTTAAGTATGTATTCTTTGGACCTTCTGAGTCTCTTCTCGTAATTATTGCTTCTGATTTGGAAGATGCTAATGAACACAAATTACTTGAGGTCCTAAAAGAACATAAGGAAGCAATAGGATGGTCCATTAATGATATTAAGGGAATCAGTCCTTCTATTGTTATGCATAGAATCCATTTAGAAGAGGATGCTAAACCCTCACGCGAGCCACAAAGACGCCTAAATCCTCACATGCACGAAGTAGTTAGTGCCAAGATTCTTAAACTTTTAAATGCAGGTATAATTTATCCAATTTTCGATAGTACTTGGGTAAGTCATGTTCAAGTGGTACCCAAGAAATCAGGTGTTACAGTAGTGAAAAATGAGAACAATGAATTGGTTCTAACTCGTGTGCAAACGGGGTGCCAAATTCAATGACACGAAAAGATCATTTTCCCCTTCCGTTCATAGACCAATTGTTGGAAAGGTTAGCAGGTCATGCATACTATTGTTTTCTTGATGGATACTCTGGTTATAACCAAATTCTTATTACTCTACAAGACCAAGAGAAAACTACGTTTACTTGCCCTTATGGTACATTCACCTATCGTCGCATGCCTTTTGGATTGTGCAATGCCCCAACCACTTTCCAGTGATGCATGATTAGTATTTTCTCTGATATGGTTGAGCGTTTTCTAGAGGTATTCATGGATGATTTTTCAGTATTCGGGAATTCTTTCGATGAATGTTTGCACCATCTTATGTTAGTACTAGCCCGATGTAAAGAAAAGAATCTTGTACTTAACTGGGAAAAATGTCACTTTATGGTAAAAAAAGGAATTGTTCTTGGACATGTAGTTTCAAATAAGGGTATTGAGGTTGAAAAAGCTAAAATTGATTTAATTTCCAACCTTCCACCTCCCAAAAAACTGTAAAAGAAATTAGAAGTTTCTTAGGGCATGCAGGATTTTATAGACGATTCACTAAGGATTTTAGAAGATTTCTCGTCCTTTGTGTAGCTTGTTGGTCAAAGAAGCACCGTTTGCATTTGATGACAAGTGCCTTCAGGCTTTTGAAAAATTGAAATCTAAGTTACCTTCTGCACCTATAATTCGACCACCTGATTAGAGTCAACCTTTTGAAATTACGTGTGACACGTCTGACCATGCAATTGGTGCTATTTTAGGGCAATAAATTGAAAAACTCCCTTATGTAATATATTATGCCAGTAAGACACTAAATGATGCACAACTTAATTATTCCACCACAGAAAAAGAGTTGCTGGCTGTTGTATTCGCCCTAGAAAAATTTCGCTCTTTTATGCTAGGGTCTAAGGTCATAGTCTACTCAGACCATGCGGCGTTAAAATATTTAATGTCCAAGAAAGATGCCAAATCTCATCTTATTCGTTGGATATTACTCTTACAAGAATTTGCCATTGAAATTCGGGATAAAAAGGGATCCAAGAATGTGGTAGCAGATCACTTATCGCGACTGGTTGTTGATTTTTCACGAGACTCTAATCCCATTATTGAAAGCTTCCTTGATGAGCAATTAATGCATGTGACCCAATTATCTTCACCTTGGTTTGCGGACATTGTAAATTACCTTGTTACTAGCCAAATGGCAACGTTGGACTAAACAAGATAAGTCAAAATTTTTAGCTGCAACCAAGCATTTTTTCTGGGATGATCCATATTTATTCAAATATTGTCCTAACCAAATTATTCGGCAATGTATTCCTGAAAATGATCAACAAAGTGTAATATCTTTTTGTCATGATCACGCTTGTGGAGGCCATTTTAGTGCTAAAAAGACAGCAGCCAAGATTTTGCAATGTGGAGTTTATTGGCCTTATGTTTTTCGTGATTCATTTACATATTGCTCAGCCTGTGAGCGATGCCAACAATTAGGAAGTATCTCTCGAAGAAATATGATGCCACTCAACCCGATTTTAATAGACGAAATATTTGATGTGTGGGGTATTGATTTTATGGGACCATTTCCTAATTCTTTTGGTTAAGATTGAATGACACATTGTGGGCTTATCGTACTACATTTAAAACTCCCATAGGAATGTCTCCTTATCAATTGGTCTATGGCAAGGCTTGTCACCTCCTTGTTGAATTAGAGCATAGAGCTTACTAGGCTATAAAGCAGCTTAACCTTGATTTGGATAAAGCAAGTACCAGTCGCAAGCTCCAAATTAATGAGTTAGAGGAAATAAGGAATGATGCGTACAAGTGTGCCAAGTCATGTAAGGAGCGGATGAAAAGAGTGCATGATCAGAATATTCTAAGAAAATCCTTTATACCTGGTCAGAAAGTCCTTCTCTATAATTCACGTTTGCATTTATTCCCAGGGAAACTTGGGTCTCGATGGACTGGTCTTTTCTTAGTCTGCATGGTATACCCATATGGAGTTGTTGAAATTGAAAATCCTAGAAATGGTGAGGTGTTTAAGGTAAATAGGCAACGTTTGAAACCATTTCTAGAATTGAGAAGTGCAGTCGTTGGGGAAATTCTTTTAGATCTTATTTATCAGGATTAAACCCACATTTCCTTTAAAAAAAAAGAAAAGAAAAAAGAAACCACATAAATTAATAATAATAATGATAATAATATTGTTCATAATTTTGAATGTTTTTGAATCAAATGAGTGACTTAAATAAATTTTTTTCTCAATTTTACTATTAGGTCTTTATCCCTTCATATATGCAGTACGATACGACGTATATTTCTATAGCACGTCAGGTGGCCTACGCCATTCTGGAACTGGACCCTCCACTTGCCTATCTTGACAGTGATAGCTGGTTTGAACACATATACCTTGCCACTCTTTGGGCTTTTGACATTGATGATTCTATTTTATTGGAGGGTGATTGGATACCACTTGATCCTTAACTCGAAGATGACCTTCAACGTTTTCTTTTGAATAATCCAATTATTAGCATTGAGATTAATCATTTTTATGTTCATCTAGTTATTTTTTTCTTTCATATTCCTTACAATTATTATTGGCGAAATCCCCAATTGTTCCGTTTGCTCATTTTGAAGCATTTGAAACAATTTGGCACTATGAGATAGAATATGCATGAATGGAAGGCTGTTTGAATACTAACTGTAGCTACACTTTTCGTGTCCCCTTTCGGAAGATGAATAAGCCCTACAATATCGGACTCCTGCGGTTCTAAATCTGATCTCACAAGTGCAATGTGAAATAGATAAACACCAAAGAGTCCCAATCTGGCAAATCTTTTGAAAAATCAACTTTGAATCAAATTGCCAAAAATGGACTACTTTGCCAGATACAAAGTCGAGACCTAAATAATTTTTGGGAAAATGTAGGAAATCCATGACTAGTGCCAAAGGCCACGTGCTCGTCATCACCAAGATTGTCTCGGCTCGGGAACTTAGGTACGAGAGGGGAAGGTCATGAATTGAGCACCCCCGCTCGCTCGATTAAAGATCGGCCTCTACTAATCATGATATGAATCTTATCTGCATTATATGCTCTTGTTCCGATTTATTAGGCTAGCATTACTATGTGATGCGCACACACAAGTGTAGACTAATTTGCAAGAATTGGAATATTTGATTCATGTTTGTTTTGAAAATTGTTTCGAATATGCACCACTTGAAAAAAGTGATCGCATATGAACATTACTCAAATTATTTCAATTCAAGCAATAAGCCTTCATCCACAGGCATTCAAGCAATTATCAATTAAGCACTTAGCCTCATGGCAAGCATGCTAGACATGGCAACATCAACATGCGATATGCTAAAGCGAGTAAAGGTTTACCTAGTACTCCAAGCTAAAAAACAAATGAGTTAGAAGAATGCATGATTCCTAACTATACCATATGACTAATGCAATACATGTGATATGCAATTTACTAGGTTCGGCTACTAGTATGGCATATGAATCAATTTGATAGCATGCGGTCTAAGCACGTATTCAAAGAAGTATTAAACTAACAATGCAAGTTAGAATGATGAACTGAGCCTCGGTGCATGCAATACAAATGGATGGAAACATGAGAAAGCTAAACAAAATGTGATGTCCCTAAACTAATCATCATAAGCTAGTAAATAAAAGGGAGAAAGACGTGGGGTTGGAAGACATACACATTATTACAATATTACGCTCTCATGAAGGAGAGTCCGAAGTGATCTATAGCTTTACTACTCAATACAAACGGTATCACAACAACCTAAAAAAAGGAGAGCATCCTGCCCTAGTTTTGAAAAGTCACTAAAGCGTACTATATGCACTAGGCCAATTGGTCCAAAAGGGTACCTCAACAAGATCACCTAATATACCTCTCACACCTAACACTAAAAAGTGAAAGGAGGATCAAACAGTACAACGGTAATCCAGATCCAAAGGTTGTGTTCCCATCATAGTAGAGTCTATGACCGGTCAGCCTTTTGGCAAGTTTTTAGGTAAGCCTCTGGCAAACCGTCTAGGAATAGCAGATGGAAAACATAGTGACTTAAGCTAGTAAACAAGCCAAATGAGGGGTGGCTAACCCCTCCATTTTTGGGACTTCAAAACCACTTTTTTGGCCTCTGAAAACTACTGAAAATCAGTGGTAAAAAGCTCAAAAAAAGTTGATGAAAAGATGGGAAACACAAGTGTAAAGGCTTAGAGAACAAGGTTCAAAGAAGGGCGATTAACCCCTCTACCTTTAATAGCCTTAAACCACAAGCTTCAGCCCACAAAAATAGTTGAAAAAATAGTTCAAAATCAGTAAGAAAAGATAGAAAAGAAGTAGTGCAAATGAGCTAGTAGTGATACCTCTTGAAGAGGAATAACACTTTTGTTCACAAACCAACAAGTTCTCACTCTCAAGGGCTGAAAAATCTGTTTTCAGGCCCGAAAGGGGGGCACGAAAAGTCGAGCTACAGTTTCTGGCGACTCTACTGGAGAAATTAGAGAACTTGACTCGAACTTCATGATGTGAACTTTTATCTACATTTATATATTTTTTGCATTGCATTTGTAATGGTGCGCTTAAGTCACTGTGTTTGCCATTTGCTATTCCTGGACGGTTTGCCGGAGGCTTGCCCAAAATCTTGCCAAAAGACTGACCGATCATGAGCTTTGCCATGTTGGGAACACAACCCTTGGATCTGGATTACTACTGTACCGTTTGATCCTCCTTTCACTTCTCTGTGTTAGGTGTGAGAGGTATATTAGGTAATCTTACTGAGGTACCCTTTTGGACTAATTGGCCTAGTGCATATAGTACGCTCTGGTGACCTTTCAAAACTAGGGCAGGATGCTCTCCTTTTTTTAGGATGTTGTGATACCGTTTGTATTGAGTAGTAAAGTTATAGATCACTCCAAAAGCTAGGACAGGGAAACTCTAACCTCTCATAGGGGTGTTTTGAATGCTTTTGTGCAAAATATGAACTCTTTGGGAATGTATGATGCACTCCTCGGAGAGTCTTAATATTGAGGCGATTCCTTTCAAACTTGAGGGTCATATCAGAATCAGAATTTGGGTCAAAACCCAGGGGTTTGTATTTGATATAGTGGAAAAATATCGGAACGCGAACCCAAGCCAGGGCCAAAAATTGTATTTTTCACTGTTTTGACAAGCATATCCGGTATCCCGATATGATAGAGCATTTGGTTTTAATGCTAGGTTTTTCTGAGTTAGAGAAGGAGCAGTACTTGCCTTAACCTATCACAGTCCATCTAATTCCAGAAAAAAACCCACTCAGCAAAAGTCCAGTCCATTGGATCCCAAAAAGCCAGTTCAGAAAAGATCCGATCCCAAAAGATCCATCCAATACTGAAAGACCCATTCTAATCCAGTTTAGATCCATCCAATACCAAAAGACCCACTTAGACTAATCCAGTTCAGATACATCAAGTATAACCAGGTCAAAATCCTTGTCAGTCAGCTCTCAGCTTGCACCCATTCATTTCCTCGATTGCTAACTCAGTAGCCTCGTGATGACACAGAGTCCAAAGAAGTTATGGCCATGATAGCGGCGTTAAACCAGAGAATTTCCATGCAGGATGAGATCAATGCTGAAATGCAACGCCCATTTGGGGCATCTACTACACATCCAGCCCTGGGCCCTAGCCGAACTTTGACCCACCTCCGCCAGTTGAAGATTTGCAAGGTCCAGATCCCTGAGAAAGATTTTTTCAAAGAGTTCACCTCTTTTCCATTTATTTCCACTTTGTCTTTACTCGGTTTACCGAAAAGTGCAATTTTTAACGAAATGCGAGCCTCGAAACATCGTAGAATCTTTTGGGAAAAATATTTTGAAAAAGAGGGTTTTGAGGTCTAAAATAATTTTGGTCCAAAATGGGGTGTAAGGTTGGGATTTAGAAGCTCTTCTTGCTGAAGAAATCGAACGTTTGGACAGCATAACTTTCATTATCGAGTGATCAACTTGAGGCGCTGTAGACACCCCATTTTTGACCGTCCTCAAGACTTGGACGTCACCATTGGAACACTTGGTGATTACCCTTGTTTGTGTTCGTCTTGAGTTCCTGGAGGTCTCGGTTGTGCGCTTTGCCTTAAGATCTCTCGACTCGACCGTGTTGTGTCTGGTTTTGCACCAAACACTTGTGTTTTGCCTTGGAGGGGCAGGGCATGCCTTGTGAGGCATCCCCACACATCACCGACCATGCCTTGAGGCCACCGGCCAGTGATTTTATGCCATCGACAATGTATATTGCCGGTCGGCACTCTTTGTTGCCGGTCGGACATTTATTTTGCCAAAATGGCAATTTTGAATGGCCAATCACTATTCATCTACTTTTAGTAGATATTTAGTGCCAGCTGTGATAGCTGGCACCCACTCTGTTCCCCTCCATACACGTGTATGGAGGGATTTTCTTCTTGGATGGCTTGTTTTGGAAGCCTTACAAGAGGGAGTTGCCTATAAGAAGAGGCTTCCTCTCTTGGCATTAGGGTTACAAAAATTTCAGAGGGAGCTCTGGATTAGGGTTAGGGTTGATACATATTTCCTATCTCTATATCTCTCTCTTGTGTGTGTCTAGTGTGTGTTTGTCCATACTATTGCACACAAACACATTGTGTTACACCTTCTCTTGGTTGTTAAGGGACCAGAGGGTTGTTCTTGGTGTTCTTGACTGGATTTGAGTTCAAGGAGGCAACAAGATCATCATTTGTGAAGGAGGACTTCAAGGGTAAGAAACTATCTCCTTTTTACCCTATTTTTGCACACTACTTTTACCTAACTTGCAACTATTTTTTGGCTTTGCATATAATACATAAAAGTTCTGTTTTTAAGGCCTCTAAATAGTTTGTTAAGAGTGTTTTAAGCGTTGGGATTGTTTGACCCCTCTTAAGCCTTGTTTGGCCCTTGTTTTGTGCTATTTTGTGTGAGCTCCGGGACTTTGGTGTTTGGGCCTCCTCACCACTGAAATCTTGAGGGATTTCAGAGGTGAGGATGGTGCCTTGAGGTCCCAAGAAGGAGAGGGCCACCCCTCTCCTTGTTGTCCTTGAAAAGGACCATTTTTGGCCTCTTGAGGGAGCACCTAGCTTAGGCTCATGTTGACCATGCCTTAGTTGTTTTTTTGTGCTTATTATGTCATAATATGCCTCTGTTTTTAGTTGGTTTTGGTACACCATGCTTGCTTAGCATACATGCCTTGTAATGCCATTTTGTTGCCTTAACATGCCTTAGGTTGTAAACCATTGTTCTAGCATGTTTTAGGCTTGGCTTTGTGAAGCTTTCATGTTTATTTTGCCATGATTAAGGTCTGTCCTTAGTTGTTTGGGTCGACTTTGGCATGCATTGTATAGCCCCTTTGCATTTTGGCTTGTTGGCCTTAAGGGTGTGAGTGTATAGCATGCATTACTTGCTTTGATTTAGTGATTTGGGACTATTTTCCATGTCATTTCAGT